GATACTTGACGAAAAATCAACTCATCTAAACTTTTGATTTTAATTTGTAAAAATCTACCGTCTTGCAATCTAATAACTTTAAGCAAATTTCGAAGTTTTTCTTATAACGTGTAAATTCTGTATTGATGCAATGATTTTTTCGCTTAGTCGCTGAGGGAACCTACAGCCAATTTTTTTGGACGAAACAAAAAGGTCTAGTAAATTCTTTAAATTACATACCGACTAACTGAGTTTTTTTACGGTGATTCTAAATATCATATTAGTTTTGACACAAGTTGAACTTTTTCTAATCACAATCTGGTAAATATTGATAAAATACAGTGAAAATTGCCCCTCTTCAATAATGTGTCGCATGGAGAAGATGTGGGTGTGAGCACGATGAAAGAGAGCCTCACCTAACACCTGCATCGCACCCACATTCACAACTACATCCGTAGCTACATCCAGGTCCAGCTACACCCATATCCGCACCCCACACCCACATACACATACTGTCAGTAGTAGATATAAAGACTTTGAACACTAAATACTTTTTTTGAAGTAGTTATCATATTGAACTGAATAGATATAACTGCAAATCAATATAAGTAATTTTATTTTCAATCATTGTAAATTTGTGACAGTCAAGTATACATCAATTTTGGGTTTTGAACTCTATGTCATATGGATTTCGCGACACATTCGAAGATTAAGTATTAGAAGAAGAATTTTAAAAGGAAGCTTCTAAATTATTATTGAAGGAAACAAAATAATCGCATGTATAGAAGAAAGTATGTGAATATTTTAGATTCTATGTGTCACTTTACATAGGAAGTTACATTTTTGTTAATATGCGTCTGCAACCAACTAAAAAATGAAAATTACAAGACAGTTCAATACGAATGATACTTACGGGCAACTCTTCTTCCAGATAGTTGTAACCAAACTCGTCTTCCAGCGGTTGTGTACCTATCTAAAAAGAATAGGGAGCTTACAATCACAATAAAACAGTTTAATAGAAGACAACGAATAACACCAATGCTAATTATGTTCATAATTTTATGATTTCTTAAGATCTTATTTCAATATTCATATGCCAGACACTATTTTTTTCACTTTTGGTCATAAACTCATCAAATGTATACTGCGAACATTTGTTCATATGTTGTCCATTATTCTACTATTTTCAATAGTTATTTTTTTTTTGGTGTGCCGATCTTTTATTACAAAGATTCCATGAGAATAGTTAGAAATTGCGATGTACCTATATCACAAAACATACTCTCGAACATTGCATTTAGATGAGAACAGGTTTAGCTATGTCTATTCCAAATATGCTTATCGAATGGGAGAGACGATTATGGACGTGCCTCTATCATGCGTAACGATATTTTCGGTCAGTTCAAATATAATCTAAAATTTGTATTTCAACGTCTATGTATTGCTACAATTTCTTTAACATTATCTATCAGTCTCAGGATGAAACAAACATTAACTACAACTCATAAAACAAAATGGCATCATAGTGTCATAATAAATGATGATTTTACTGTTTCCAAAGCATTTTCCATAAAAACCGTTTTTTTTTTAATTGACAATATCATCGCACAACTTCCCATAAAGCGATTAAAATGTGTTACATCAATTACAAGAAGATACGATTTCAATTACCTTCCAATAGTAAGTTTAAATGTTTTCACAGCTTTTCAACAAACTTCGGTAAACAGGTAGTTGCAAGCGTTCTACTTTCCAAAATCAGCTCCGATAGCGGTGTGGATGTGGGTGAAAGTGTGGTTATGGATGTAAAGAAGATCTGCATCCACATTGAAACTCACATCCATATCCAGCCAAAATTCATCTAAAGTTCGGATTAGAGATCACACTCCTTTCTCATTGATGGCAATGAATGATATGAAATTGGTTTCCAAAGTACACGTAGATACATGATAAACGATCGTGATAACTTCATAATTCGTAAAAATCGTATCACTTACCTCAGTTGTTGAACTTTCATCATTTTGCGTATTATTCTCTCATGTATTCTGGATCGAATCTTGTAGTGTTTCCTAAAAAGTTTTTCGGTCAAACGTAAACGAATCGTATTTATAAGAAAAACATGATCTTACACTTTCATCAATAAATCTCTGTATTGCTGGATAGTATAAATGGTAAAATGTAGTTGCCCTACAATTTAGAACGAATCTGAAAGCTTACTTAAATCTTACTCTATCTCTCTAGACATATTACTTGATAGTAAACCACAGAAGGATAAAAAAATACGAGTTTTGTCGAGACATGGAATAAGTAACTCTGACACGGCTCCTCCTAAAACATTTAAATAGAAAATATGAAAATCTTTCCTAGATACGCAAACTAAACAGGCATTTCTTTTCTTTTAACATACCATCAGCAAAATAGGAGCTCTTAAAATAATTTAGAAACGAGTGATCTCCACATCCATTTGATGGTGAATTCAATTGTTTAAAAAACTTCAATGCGAAATATGCCTGGATAATATGTACCAAAACAGTAAAAATATTAAATAAATCTTTAAGTTTCTCCTCCGTTACACGTTCTTGGGTACTGGATAATATACCTTCCATAATAATAATATGTGATTCTGCAATATACAGTTGTGTTCAAAAGAGAAAAGTGTCAAGTGTCATAGAAAATTTATTAGTCTGATAAGTGACTTATCAACAATAATTCTAATGTCGTTTCTTTTTTTTTTACTTTTTAAAAGAAATGAAATGATTAAGTGGGAAAAAACCCACTACGCACAACGACATGTATCGCTACGACAATGTGCACTTCGTCTTTTTTTTCATTCTATAGTTAGTTTTTTTTTAGTCATCGGCTTTCGCGATGATCAAAGCAATTTTGTGAACTCTCATGTTGCTCTCGTATTTTTATTCAGTTTCTTCTCGAAAATATTTGTACTAGTTTTCTTCTATTTGAAATTCATAATCAACTGTGAAGTGTGGGTGTGGGATAGGGACTAATCTGCAACCACAACCCACACCCACACACTGTTGATCATAAACAATGAATTCAAATTGTACTAGAAGATGCTATTGAAATTGCGAATAAATTTAAAGCGAGATACAAGCTATACAGAGTTCACTGTTTGATAAATTTAAACAAAAAATTTGCTCTACACATCAGATAAGAACATGTTTTAGTAGTTCTTTATGAAATAAGAAAACAAGGATTTTAAATCATAGATAAATAACTAAAAATAATACAGAAATAATCATAATCTTTGTTTATTATCGTTTGATTTTAACTTATCAATATCATCCAAGTATATTTAACTTAGACGAACTCTACTGTGCGTTTTATTGACAAATTTTTTACAAAAAAGTTATCTTCATAATAAAGGAAAATCTTGATGAAAGTTTTCTGACGGAACAAACGGTACCCATTCATGTAGTCTTTTTAATTTAGCGTAATGAGACGCGCCACATCATTGGTGAAATTGTTTGTTACTATTACGAGTGATTTTTATTTGATGCTGAGTATCCGTAAACGAGGCAAATAAGATTCTTTTTTTTAACGAACACAAATTGTTTAGCATAATCCACATGTGTTGTATCTTCAGATTAAGAAGTGTAAGATCAGGAAATAGAATCGTTGTTGATGATTTATGTTTTACCTTTTATGATTGCTTATTACAAATAAATTTTTTTGTTTTCAATTAATTTTTAACTTACAATGAAATCTTTTGTACTGATACACAAGAAGATTGATCATATCCAAATCAAATTATTACTCTCATTGCCATGCTAACAAATTTAGCATATGATCTACCCATAGCGAGTATCGACTGAACTATTCAAATCTGAAGGTATTTCCAGTATATGTACATGTCCGTTATTAGAAATTTCAGTAGGATTTATTAATTTTTGTTTTTCACGATTGGATAAAGTTCGTCGAGTAACATAGGAGAAAGGACTTTTCAAATATAAGAAACTTTTACGAAAGTCAGAATTTTAGATCTATTTTGCTTTTATCCTTAAATATAGTGATACTTTGGATTTTTTTCGCGAATTTCTTATTTATGATTATTTGAAAAATATTTTTTCTTATGCATACATGTTAACCGAAACTTGAATTCAATTGAAATTTCAAGTCTTCAAGTTTTGAAATTTTCTATTTTCGACTTTCAAGTTTTCAATTTGCGAAAATTCTCGTTTGGCTGCGGCGATACATATCTATCCTGAAACTTGAATTCAACTCTTCAATAATCCTATGAATATTTAGTGAGAAGGTAAGCGCTATTCGCCGACTAACTAACTTTTTATATCAGCGTGATGGCGTAGAGGCGCGAAGTGCCCCTGAAGAGCCGCTACCCATGCATGTCTCTGTGTACACAGAAATCGAAGTGTGCCATACTTAGGCTCATATATGTTAAACTTGAAACTTGAAATTTCAATTGAATTCAAGTTTCAAGTTTTACACTACTGATAAATCTAGTCTATTACGAGATATTTATTCTATTTATTGATTACTTTATGATTGATAGAAATTTTATGAAGTAAATACAAACGTAATAGGCTTAACTTCATCAATATCTACCTTTAATAGAGGTCGATACTGAAAAACAAGAAGGGAAGCCAGTCGAGTTTATATTTCTTATTATTAAATCGATATTCATTACGATTCATTGTCCGAATATTTCTCTATTTTTCTTTTAATTAACAGCTTTTTATTTGCTTTACAATTGAGATCATAAGGTTATCTTATTTCAAAATCAACATTTAAAGTCATAAACTCTAGATGTCGCATAAAAGCAGTTTGTTTACTTTTTTTTTGCTTGAATATTTTCTGTAAAATATCGAGTAATTTTTCTCTCGTGATCACTATTAAAATTTAATATTCAACAAAAAATAACTCAATGAGCATTATCGATATCTTACTGGTTAAATTTTCTCGTATGACAAATTTAACAAAAAAAATAAAGCTTAAATGTTCTGTTTTTTTTTTTCTTTTAGAAATTATCTTTTTATAAGTTGTTCAATATGTCTATATCTGCAAATGCATTTCGTTGGCTTGATATTCTTGAAAAAGAATTTGATAAAGCATTTGTTGATCTTGATTTATTACTTGGAGAAATTGATGAAGATCAATCGGAAATTACTGATGATGGACGAGCACGAATGACTACACTTAGTGCATGTTTTGCACAGCTTACTCATAAATTACAAACAATCTCAGAAGCTAATGCTAAATTAGAAGTTTGTATTTTTAATTGAAATAATATTTAAAAAAGAAAAAGAAAATCATATAAATCTTAAATTAGGCACAATTAGTTGATGCTCGATCCGAAATAGTTAATATTAAAGCTGATCGACAAACATTAGAACAACAAATCAAAGATACAATGGCTCAATTACAGACATCACAATTAGAATGTCAAATATTAAAAAATCAAGGTGAAATTGAAGGTGCAGATACAATACGAAAAAGATTGGTTTGTATTTGTTTGATAAAGTTTTAGTTTAATTAGAAAAATTATTTTTTTTTTGTTTATTTAGAATGACCAAATAACGAAACAACGTAATGAGTTAAAACAAAATTTAATACCAGATATAAAAGTACATGAACTTGAAAAAGAAAATGAAAAACTTAAAGCACAAATTATTAATCTTCAATCAGAAATTTATGGATCACGTTTAGCAGCTAAATATCTTGATAAAGAATTAGCTGGAAGGTAAGATTTACAAATAACGATTTCGAACAAATATAATGTCTCTCATCAATTTACTGGTTTTTCTTTGTTATGAGAGTCATTTTTTTCTGTTATGTCTATCGGTTTATTCTAATCAGATAAAAGCAAATAAGATTGTTTTTTGTTTTATTAATTCAAACGACACAGGCAACGTTATATTACGTCGAGGAATTTACATCACGAAAAGATCAAGGTTACTAAAAGCATATATGCTAATTTAACACTTTTCTGAGACAAATCATATACAATAAAAAAAAGATATTTGCAGAGTTCATTTCTCTACCATCGAAAAACATTAGATTGACAAGAATAGTTTGTTCTGTTTTAATTGACTTCAAGAAATGTGTGCAACATCTAGAAAGAATTTCTATGATGAATAACAGTAATTCTAATATAAATTCTAATTTTTTTTTTTCTAAACAGAATTCAACAAATTCAATTACTCGGCCGTGATTTACGTGGACCTAATCATGAAAATTTATGGAATCAACTTGAAGCTGAAATTCATTTACATCGTCATAAAACTGTTATACGTGCATGTCGTGGACGAGAAAAAGTTAATAAAACTTTAACGACACCACCCGGACATGTAAAATATGTTTTTTTTTTCTCTCCTTTTTCTTTCATTTATCGATATTTATTTAAAATAGGACATAAATACATTAAAAAAAACGGCAGGGTGTTGGTGAATTACGTACAGTTAAATTTCATAAAGATGCAAAAGAAGCCTTAGGTATATCAATAACAGGTGGTAAAGAACATGGTTTACCTGTTCTTATATCAGAAATTCATGAAGGTGGATTAGCATGGCGTTCTGGGCAACTTTATGTTGGAGATTCTATACTAGCTGTTAATAAACATGATCTACGTGATACAAAACATACTGAAGCTGTTCAAATTCTTTCATCTATCGTATGTTACAAAAAAAAAATTTGTTCTCTTTTTTTTCTAAATTGAAAATTTTCATGTTTATAAAAGAAAGGAGATATAACAATGACAGTTGTATATGTTGCACCTGATGATAGTGATGATGAAGATTTAACAAATTGTGAAGAAAATAATCATTTAAAATATAAATTTTTTACTAATGAAACTGAACATAATCCAAAACCAAAAGATATTGATTCAATTAAAAATTTAACTATATCCAATGGTGATAAAGGAAAAAAATTATTAGAACAAACAGATGGAACAGATACTGCAAGTGTTGATAGTAGTCAAAAGTAAAAATTTTTTTTTTTTAAAGTTTATTAAAGAAAATAAAACTAGAAAAATAATTTTTATTTTCTTTTTCTAGAAATACACCATCGGTAATTGATAAATATCTTAAACATACACGTCAAAATTTACCTGCTAAACGTACTAATTCAAAAGATTAATTACTTATTATTATCGATATCTATTGTCGATTTTAGAATCTTAATCAAACGAGAGAAATCCGACAATTGTATGTGATGACTTTGCTATTTAAAATGAACGAAATGTATTTTTTGTTTTCATTTTATTCTAAATTTTTATTATTTAAATATATAAATATTATGCAAATTAATTCTTATGAATGAATTATAAATAGATTCTGTTTTTTTTTGTTTTTTATTTTGTTTCGAAAAATATTCTCCTATAAAAGAGATTATCATATGGCTTAAGGCAATAAAACATGACAGCTATGATTATTGCATACGATTAGAAAAAACACAGTTGGTAAGTGACGATATGCACATGCATATGCAAGCATATGGCAAATATGTACGATTGAATAACATGAGTTTTACATTAAAGCCTGATCGTGGCTTTTGCTTGACGAATATTATATAAAGCGGAAGGAAAAATCTCTTCCAGGATATTAATTATCGTTGTGCACACTATTCTTTGATTAGAGCCAAGGTGTCTGTATAAATTATTTTCTGCATGTTATTATGTTTTGAAAGACAATCAACAAATGGCAAACTCGTCACAAATACGATTAAAATAATATTTGAACAAGGATGAATCTTTTCATTTTGATTTCTTACGTATTGCAAATAGATATGTCTCTTATTCAATTTCATTGTTGTTTTTTTTTCCTATTATTTCTTATTTAGATAAAAGTATTTTTGATAGGAATAGCTATAGATTTGCGAGTGTATTTGATTTGTTTTCACCAATCAATTTCTTTTTGGCATGTGTATTCCATGAATATAACCGATCAACAAAAATAGAATAACAGAGAACGAGAGAGATAGTATGCGAAAGGATATATATACATTAGGCGCTTATTTTTCTTTTAGATCTATTGAGTTTTTTTTTTCTCGTAGTCTATAAATGACTGATGATGATGATTGTCGGAATAAAACAAAAGAGCATTGGTGGGTAGCCTTTGACAAGAGACTATAGCAAATGATATTTTGTAGGCTCCTCATCGTGTCTCGTCGCACTCCATCATCAGATAAGAACGTATGTGCCGACATTCAAAATCATCACTATACACCATTCTTTTCTTCTTTTATATGTATCTATCGCGATTTTTCTTTTTCTTCTTCTTATTATTATTATCATTATGATACGGTAATAATCATCTGTCGAAAACTTGTTTACATGTATACGCCAATTCTAATTAGCGAACAAATAGATCAAATAATATTGTCATTTGTAAGAATTCATCATGTTTGATCTCTTTATGTTTTTTTTTCTCCTTTTTAGATGAATGCCTACCTGTAATCATATCTATATGCTTACGTATAATATAAAAAATATCCTCGAAGGAATAAATGTCGTTGTTATTACCGTCAATGTCAATTGCTAACAACATTTGCTCGGATGCAACATAGGAAGCAATTCAGTGTGTCTCTGTAGGGATGAAAAGAATGAGACTAGCTATAGAACTATATTTCTTTCTCTCTCTTGTTTTTAGAGTAAACATATAGCTAAGAGCGTAAAACATATATATCAGAATTTCTGCAAAACAGATGAAGATTTAATAGAAATGAAACAAAATTATTTATATTTATATTTATATTTATTACATTTGCATTTATTCTTTGTTATCTTCTATTAAAAAGATTAGATTAGAACGATTGACAACAGAAATACAGGAATGTACATATTCACAACAACGTACAGAAGACGGAAAGAATAAGCAGAAGGAAAAAAATAGAATAAATAGATATGTCATGAATGATATCATCAATATGAGAATAAAATAATATCAATAAATATATCACACATCATATATATATATACATCTATATCTATACAGGCAGACATAGAAGTTCTGTGCTATCATAACTGTTAAATAAAAATGTACCAAGAAGTAGGTAATTTGTCATCTTTTTGTTTTCTTGTCTATATTTTCATTAACACTTCGTTACTATTATCCGCAAGTTTTTCATCACTTCATCAAACTTACAATAGATATACAATTTATTCTTAATGATATATTAAAATATTGAATTTTTAGAGTATAGATTCTATGATTACTATGGATAATTCAAAACAATATCTTTCATATCAATCTACTGAAATCATGCATACAAAAACAAAAATTTTAACAAAAAAATCTCGAAGAAAACAAACTTTGCGTCGTTTTGGAGCTCGATGTTTACCATCATTAGCAACGAATACAGTTAAAATGGTTGTTGCAACATTACAAATAGGTTCAACAACAAATGATGATATTATTGAAGATGAAGAACAAGATGATGATACATTTTCTATTGGACAACAAGTTCAAGCACACATTCCAGATATTGTTTTAAATAATTTAAACGATTTAATTGATCAAAAAGGAAATATTTTAATTCCCAGTGAACATATGTATAATAGAATAACATTATTATTTCTTGATGTATCTGGTTTTACATCATTAACTGAACAATATTCAAATGATGCACATTTAGGTATTGATCAATTAACACACACATTAAATTTATATTTTGATAAACTTGTTTCACAAATTTTAATATATAATGGTGATATTTATAAATTTGCTGGTGATGCTATACTTGCTTTATGGACTAATGAATTCAATGGACCAGAACAAGCACTAAAATGTGCATTATGTTTACAAGAAAAATGTGGATCATATGAAACAGATGTGGGAGTTGTATTACGTCTTAAAGTCGCACTTGCATATGGACCTGTACGTGCATTATTTGTTGGTACAGATGAATTTAAACATTATATATTAGCGGGTGATTGTGTTAAAGATGTTAATATATGTGAACAATTATGTGAACCAGGAGATATTATTATAACAAAAGCAGTTTATGAACAAGTTCAATCAGCAAAACTCAATTGTGAATTTATATCGATTAAAGATGATATTAATGGAAAAGATCAACATATTGCTGTAAAATATTCTGAATCAATAGATGATAATCATCGTCGAACGAAAATCAATGATAAAATAGTATGTAAATTAGTCAGAAAAGAAAAATTTTGCCATCAGATAAAATCTACTTAAACTTGAATCCTTTAGTTTCATATTTTGACCACAAACATCAAGACTTGATCGACTTTCATCGGAAAGAGTTAGAAGGTCGTCATAGATTTGTTTTTAGTTAAAGATATTCTAACGTAAGAAATAATTTATAATTTGCTTGATTTATGCAGTAATCTGCATATAGTCTCGATATAGAAGAAAGGAAATGGGTACCAACGAGAGTCAGGATCCTTGCTGACATAATACTATCCGAGGAACTCATTTGTTGACTTTAAAATCCTTAATATTGACTGATCAAATACTAATTTGAATTGATATACATATATTATTTCTTTTGTCTCTATAGAATACTTCAAATCAAGAAATATCTAATGATACTCATCTATCTGACCATGATAATATTCTCAATCATCAATCATCTTCATTAATAACGGATTTAATTGATGAAGAATTTTACAATAAAATAGATAGTCTAATGAAATCGTTTTTACTTCGTTGTGTATATCAACGTATTGAACGTCAACAATCTTTAGATTATTTAAGTGAATTACGTCGTGTAACAATAACATTTATTAATCTTGATATATCAAATGAACAATATACAAATAAGAATCTTTGTCAAAATGTTCAAAAAGTTTTTATACAAATATATGAATTAGCAAAAATGATGGGTGGTGTTCTAACAAAAGCATTATTATTTGATAAAGGTTGGTCATTTTTATGTGTTTTTGGTTTACCTGGTTATAAACAAGGTGATGATACAGCAAATGCACTTAAATGCGCTCATATGATGCATTCAACAATGCATAAACAATGTCAATTTATTGATAAATGTTCTATTGGCGTAAGTTAATTTAAATCAATAATTGAAAAAAAAAGAAAATTTTAAAAGAAAATATTTAATAATTATTTTCGTTAGGTTAGGTGGCAACAGGTCTTACTTATTGTGGTGTTGTTGGACATATTGCACGTTGTGAATATACAGTTATTGGTCGTAAAGTAAATATGGCTGCACGTCTAATGTGTAATTATCCAAATATAATATCATGTGATCAAGAAACATATTATAATTCACATTTAAATAGTCGATGTTTTCAAATATTACCTGATAAAATATTAAAAGTAAAATTATTAAAAAACAAATTTAAAATTTTGCAAAAATTTTCTATTATGAATTTCTAGGGTATGCATAATGTTGGAATTATTTGGCAATATGGTGGTCATTTAGATAATATACAAATTCAAAATAATCAAATAATTGAACAAAATAAAAATATAATAAATGATATTAGACATGAAAATTATCCATTATTAGGGCGAAGAATTGAATTAATGATTGTTGCTACACAAATTATGTTATTAGATGAACCTTTAAATAGTTCAAATAGACGAAGAGATCTTGCAGCTATTATATTTGAAGGTTAGCAAAGCAAAAAAATATGATTTTTTTTTTCTTATTAAAGTTAGAATATTTAGCTGAGTGATTCATTAAATATAGAAACATTGAGTTGGTTGTCAGTTTAGTATCTGTATGAATTTTTAGATTGACTGGATAGTCCAATCCGATTGCGAAAGATCCAAAGCGAATTTCATCTCTAAGATACTGTAATATCTATTTTTAACAATTTCGACGGTGATCTTTTATTCTTAGAGATCCATAAGGATTTTATTACTTAGCTAGTGCTTTAGTTCGAATAGATTTTATCGATATTTTGTTTACCAAGATGAACATCTGTTTTTTTTCTTACGGTAATAAAGATCCCAGCTGTCAGACAAGTTAATATTCTTAACTTTGTAAGATAAGGTGGGAAAAAAATGCACTGACTCATCATTTTATTGAGAATCTCGTGTTCTTTCATATGGTACTGCTAACGATGAGTTTTCATAACATCTTCAGAAACCTGAAAAACAGATAGCTATTTGAATTTTAATTAGATACTCGATATCACAGAAAAATATTTAATTATAGGTGATGATAAAATTGGTCGAAGTCGTTTATTACAATTTATTGCGGATTCATTTGAAAATTCAAATAATGAAAATAATATTATAGGTATGTCTAGTTACGACAATACTTACATTCCTCATGATTCAACAATACCTAATAATATGTCTATAATAACAAATGATAATCAAACACATCGTTTATCATTATTAAATCTTTATAGTAATGAATATTCAACAACGAAAAAATCAATAATACGTGTTATTAAATATTGTTGTCAATTAGAACAACGTTTTAATGAATTTAGTTTACTTCGTTCATTATTACGACAATTATTACAATTTCATAATAATGATAAAACACAATATGAACGTGAACAATATCTATTAAAATTATTTGATATAAATAAATCAAATGATTTATATTTAAGACGAAATTTATTTTTATTAAATGATTTACTTGATGTTAGATTTCGTCGAAGTCCTATTGAAACAGAAAATACGAACGAAAAAAATTTTGTTCGAACATATGAAACAGATATTAATGAATTATTATTACATATATTAAATCAACTTATTGAACCATCAGTAACTACTAATGAAATCAATACAAATACAGTACTTGCATTAAGGTATATATGTAAAAAATGAGCTATTCAATTTTTCAAATGAGATATACTTTCTTGACTTTATGAGTAATTTCCATTTTCTCCGCATGAATCGATCACTGAAAATATGTCTGGATCAAATTGGATCGACTCCTTCTATAATGCTTTATTATAATTAATTAGTTCTTAACATTTTCTTTTCCAATTTCAATGATTTCTTTGTCTATAGATAGAACATCGTGTTCTGATAATACTCTAAAAGTTCTCTATTGAGATTTGCCTTAGTTGTCGAATTTTTAGTTAAAACTTTGTCCATATAGAGAATTCAACTAAATTAGTTTCTGTAAAAAATCTAGAAGTTTCAAACAAAGTTACTTCGAGATATGAAGCTTTTAAAGGCATACATTTCCAATGCACTATCCATAGAAAAAGGGTCTATGTCTTGAAAGTCTCATATTTCGAACAGACTTTGTTTAAAACTAGTGAATTTCTTTATGGAACTTTATCTATTTGAATTATGTGAATGAGCAACATCTCAGATCAAAATTTTGATAAAGTCATTGAAATCAGAAGAATATATCAGAGTATATTCTCTCGTGAAATGATAACCGACCGATTTAGTAATGAATTAATTCATTATGGTAAAATGTTATATGCAATATTAAAATCAACGAAAAAGAGCTAATACGATGTTATATGTGTCGATTTTAAAAGTCAGTGAAAGTAACGTTTGATAATAAATATTCATGTCTACGTCTGATTGTTATAGAATTAGAAGGGCTATGTATTCTTACAAATCATGAGAAGATTTCAATTAAAAGTTCAGAAGTTGTCGAGAAACTAATTAGTTACAAGGGTCTTCTATTGTGGACACAGTTTATATATACTCAATTCAAAACGTTGTTGTAACACTTGAAGATTTTGAATTGTAAGTTTGTCGTCATGAAGAAAATCATGCAATATTGAATGTCAAGCACGAGTTAATGGTATATGATATTCATGTATTTGTTTTTTTAGTAGACAGGATAACAGCAAATATGTTGTTTGCATATTCGAAAATTTGTCTATGGATTCAATACATAAGAATATTCAATAATTGAATATGTATTTAATTTTGTTTTAGTCCATCCTGTTCGCAACTGAGACTTTCCACAAGTTCAATGTCTACTTTACCTATTTCTCCTATACCAACAGTATCGAAAATTTTATTTATTATTGATGATATTCATTTTGCTGATGAAAGTTCACTTAAACATTTACTTACATTAGGTAGTCATAGTAAATGTTTATTAATTCTTTCAATGAAACCACCGAATAATAATAATAGTGATCGACCAGCTTCAAATACATTACAATCAATAAGTACAGATTCACGTGTTTATCTTCGAAGATTACCTGGACTTGAATTACGTTATCTGGCTACACTTGGTAAAAATCAATAGTTTTCTTTAATATGTATATATATATATATATGCTTATTTGTAGGATGTCAGATATTATCTGTACATAAAATTCCAGCAAAAATTGTTAAAATACTTAATGAAAGTTGTAATGGTAAGAATAAAGAGTTTGATTATTAGAAAAGAACTTCTTTTATAAAATTATGTCTAGCGAAGGAAATAGTACAACTAATTCTAACCGTTTAATCTCATCTTTAAGTTATAATCATAGGTTTGAGTGAGATTTAGAAAACTCAAAAACTCTTCGTTTATGAAATATGATGCATGTTTTGACGAAAAACAGCAAACGCAGTCTTTTCAAATTATCATCTGTTTCTTTTTTCCTAAACTAATTTCATAAAGATGATATACAAATGGATATGCAGAGAGAAGTCTTGGAAATATTCAATGATGTCAAAGCTTACTTATATTCTTGCTTGTTTCTATGTAATGAAGGGAGATGTTGAACTCCCGGCTTGATCTATTGTTTGTGATGTCGAACATTCTTAGACATTTCCGTCACTTCAACATATATAGAGTAGTTCAAAAGACGCTCTTTTTTCGGTCCAAATATTAATTATATCTCGAGCACAAAGAGTCATAAGCACGAACGGTTTTAAAGTTATGTTAGTCTCACTAAAACTTACTTACAATCTTAAGATAACGTTCAAAACTCATAATCAGTCGGGCTTAGAAATGTGCTGAACCAACTCTAAGTGTCGGATCCGATACCGACCTCAGCCACTGAGATCGCAAGAAAAAATTTGCTGAAGCGGAGACTCGACCAGATTTACCGATCCTATGATTGGGACTAAAAAGAATTGGTCCCACACATTTCCAACTAGGATACTTTTCTCGTGAGACAATCATTACAGAATGAATTATTCCTACAATATTACAGGACACATAAAAAAAAAAAGACTTTTTCTACGAAAAATTGTTCGGAATGTTCTAATAGGTGTTGCATAAAGGATAAGACACTTTAATACTACTCTCTTTTTCAGGGTTTTAAAAAATTCTAGCTAAAATCATTTTTAGACTGAAAACTTTGAAATTTTTCTATTCTGGAAAAATGTTTCTCAGTCAAAAAGTAGTGTCTATATACGGAAGAAGAAAACGAAACGAGATACAAAAATTAATATGATATCATATAATATTTTTTTCCGATCGGATGCATCTGTAAACATAATTTGTATCATATTGTAAATAAAGGAAATGAAGAACGTTATTTATTGTAAAGTTCATCAATATGAAACCGATATTTTATCAGATACTTAAATCAATTATATAGATATTTCTTATTTTACTGAAAATTTGTTTTTTTGTTTTTGTTTCTTCTACTTTAGGTATTCCAGGTTTTTGTGAACAAATTCTTTTTGATTTGTTACGTAAAGATAAAATTTATATTACAAATAATATTGAAACTTGTGATGAAGATCTAAATTTAATTGAAGGTGATGCTGATAAACTTCTTGTTAATTCATCAATAAAAACTAGTTTATTTAAAACATTATTTTCACGTCGTAAACAAATCATAGATGACGAACAATATAAAACGGAACGTATTTTTTCACGTATATGTCTTTTACGTGATCCAGCGGCTAATGATTTTATTGCTCATTGTCAACAAAATTTTCAAAATTATATTATGTGTCGTATAGATCGTTTATCCGAAGGTGAAAGTTTACTTGTTAAAATAGCTGCTGTTATTGGTAATACATTTTCTCGAACATTTTTATGGCAATTAGTTGATCCACAATCAAAAAAATTAATTAATATTAATTCATGTATATTAGATATGATGCAACGAACAGTTATTGAATGTGCATATCAACAACAACAAATTCATAAAACACATTCAATTAAATGTTTTTGTTTACAAAATCCAGGTGGTTTTCCATCTCAATGTCGTCTTATGTCATTTACACATGTATCAATACGTGAAGGAATATATAATTCTTTAACAGATAGTTTAAAACGTACATTAATACGAAATGCAATTGATTATTTAGAAAAACAATGTACAATTGTTTGTTTAACATGTGGACCACGAAATAATAATCCATTTTTTGTACAAAAAGAAGATGGTCTTACAAGAAGTATTAAAACAAGTAATCAACATGCATTTGTTGATATTGTTAAAATGGCAGCATTAAAAGAAATTGAAAATACAATAAAACAATCAATGAGATTACGTTCAATGAGTTCACCAGCAAAACCAAGATCAAATACATCAGCAAATTTACCAAAAGGATCAATTATAACACTCATTGGAAATTCAAATAGAAATAATAATAATAGGTATTGAAAAAATTAGATAGATTTAATAGAATTGATTTAAGTCGGAATCAGAAATCGATGAATTCAATTTAGAAATCAAAATAATCTCAAAATTAATAAAAAAATTTCATAGTCCTACATTTAGAAGTAAGCGTTGGAGGCGATCACTTTTCCCTTCCGAACAATTTTTCTCTGTTCCACGACATTTGCGCGTCAACACTTCCGCGCAAAATAATTTTGTTTTGTTTTGTCTGTAATAAGTTGTTCGTTCTTTCAAACTTCGTGAATAACGGTTCATGACAAGTTTTCGAAAAACCAGAATCATGGGGTGTGGATGTGGATGTGAGTGTATGTATGGGTATCCACCATCACAAACACGTGAACAAACAAGCACATACCACATAGATACACTCACAGCCACAAACGCACCCACAGCCAGAGCCACACCTAAACCTGTCATAAACCGTTATTCATGAAGTTCGAAAGAACTAGCAAGTTATCACAGACAAAGAAAATTATTTTGCGCGTAAGAGTCATGCGCACAAGTGTCGCGCGCGGAATTGTCGTGTCACGATTTTTCTCAGCAGACTACGCCAAAAAAAGATTCATACAACTTCTAATCAGACTTCAAAACATGTTGTGTGACTATGATTGCTTCCAATTTACTAAAATCCTAGATCTACTATCGATTTTCAAAAGTACAAGGATGTTTTCAGCAATCGAAAAATTTCGTCAGAGGGGATGTTACAGGAAACTACAGCCAGTTAATGAATATAGTTGGTTTGAAATTTAGCTGATCGCGAATCCGTCAAAGATTTGTAGCCATGTTTTACTCACGTAGGAACATTCTCAACTGTCCAATCGCTCGCATATTATAAGTAGTAGAAAAGTTTATTTCGACTTGAGTTTTCGGTGTTCACTTATTGAGTTGTGGATGTTTTATTCAATGTTTGCTCTATTAGTCAAGAATCACTGATTATAGTCTCAAATGAAAAGCAACTGAACAAATGGTAATGTTCTCTCGTCGTTCCTATTCATCATCCAGATAAGTTAAACTTTGATAATTTCCTAAAATTCATGATGATTACTTCTCATTTCTTATGTATAAAAGAATCTGTTCCTTTTTTTTATTTATAAAATAGCTTTAACAAGATTCAAGAAAAACGTCGTAATAGTTATGATGTTACTGGATTTAATTTGCAGCGTGCAAGACGTTCTCAATCTCCATTTTTTACACTTGTTGAAGATGATTTCGAAACAAAAATCGATCAATCAATACGTCATGAATCAAGTGATTCAAATTCAACTTTAATTAGTGTTTATCCATATAAAAATAATGCATCAGAATCTATATCATCACCTATGAAAAAAGATATACAACGATCATCATCATCATCATCATCAAAATCAAATCATATTTTTACTGTATTTAGATTATCCAAACGACGATTTATCAGTTCATCTTCATCAAAAACCCCATTATTAAAAAGAATTGATAGATCTGTGATAGAAGATAAACCAAATGAAAATGAAACAATTATAGAATCAAGACGAAAAAGCAAAGAAGATAAATCTCATCGTTTTAGAACTTTTTGTCGACATATTTTCTGTCAATTTGTACCATTAAATTCAAATTCATCGGTCATTATAGAAGTTAATAATCAATCTACGAAAAATTCGCTTGACAATTCAATACCAGACACTAAGATAATTGCAACATTAAATAATACTTCACAGGTAAAATTAAAAGATCATTATTGAACAGTTAGAAAACAAATCTCGGTAGGTAACTAAACCAAAAGTCGCTCATTATTATAAACTGCAACACGAGGGAACTAATCCAACTGTAACCCGTCGTTTGAGCTCATAGTGTGCCCACACAGAGACTTCAGCAAGACTACAAAAAAAAGAAAAAAAGAATTCATCTCGATGAGCTTTTAGAGCTAAATTATGGCCGTCGTACTGAATTTTCGGTTCATTTTTAGGAATTCACTGGAAGATCAAATAACGGAATTTCAACTTAAAATTTTGTCTATATCTAAGTCTAGTGACGTTTATAATATCTTGAAAGTTTCAGCAGAAAAGAATATTTCTTCATTGAAATATTGAATTTTCAAAACAAAAATAGCCGTTTGCCACAGATATGCCACGAAAATCGAGTTTGCTTGAAAATTCAATATTTCGGAAAAAGAATATTCTTGTCAGTTGAAACTTTGAGGATAATCTACGAAGCATCAGTAGAATAAGGTACAGAAATTTGATTTTTCTAAATATCGGAATTTACCATGTTCGCCAAGTCTCTTATTCATATCCGTTCGATTTGACTGAACGTTTCATTTAATCTGTCACAGTAAAACAAATCCTCTAGAAATCTCGGCTGAAACCTATAAGAACAAGATTATCAATACAAACTTCGAACCAGTACCCATCTACTCTTGAAAATAATAATTACTACAGCTTAAATTAATTGCCATTGTTCACTAAATTTATCAATCTTTCAAACGAAATGCAACTGACCAGCTCCAAGTTCGCATACAAATGAACGAAAGAACTGTTAGAGCAAACCAGTTCAGATTAGAAAACGTTTCCAATAGTTCTTGAGATCTAAACTACCTATGCAGCCACGATAATTACTAAAACGGTATTAAAAACAGTTTAAGATTTATAGTTTTTTAACACGTTTTTAGCGACTAATCAAACATTTTTAATGCTGCAAAAACTTCATTCATTGAACTTTATCAATTGAGTTTTTTCTGTATAATAGGTGACACCATCAAGTTTTTATTTCTATAGACAAGTGGAAGAGTGCTCTTCAAAGTAATTACCTTCAGGCAAGATATGAAAAGTCAACATTTTTTCTAGTTCCATAATAATATTTTGCAACGCTTCGTTTTTAATTAATTCGATTGCTAAATTATTCAAATCCCGAACAGTCGTTTTATGGAAATTAGTTTTAATGCGTCTTCATAAAAAGAAATCGAAATTTCAAGTCAAAGTCTAGCAGTTAAAAGCGAAACATTCCGAAATCTTATTAGGAAATCAGAAAAAAGGTTAAATTCTTGTAATTCGGCTAATAGTAATTACTTTAAGTAGTGCTTTCATAGTTCGTACATAGAAATAAAAACCTTAATTGTATCATCTACCATACGAAAAAAACTTTTTTTTACGGATGACTTTTGTGATACTCTGGAAATGCTTCGTGTCAATTCCTGAAAAAGAGTTATTCTAAAAAACCTATAGTAATTCTTTGAAGAAAATTATTTTTTTCAATTTACTTATTTTTTTCTTCTCTATTTATTCTTTCGAAAATTGAAATCTAATCTCATTTGCTATATCTTTTCTTTTCTTTTACTTAAAATATTCTATTCCGTTGAAAAATATTAATATTAATATTTTCTTTCTCAGATATCAATTGACTGAGTTCTCAGATATCATTGACAATATGCGATCACGTAACAGTATAGCAATAAATATTCTGTAGTTAAACGATTTTACGTCTATTCTTTTTGTACTGCAACGCTTAAGTTTTATATTTACAATAACTGACGAACTAAGATTATTGGGTGAATAAATCTTTAAATACTATGATCAATTCATGAATTGATTAGAAAGAATGGAGAACAAGTAATCATCTAATAATCTTCTGATACTTAGAAAATTACAATCCGGATTGTAATTCATGACTCTTCGTTAATCGCGCATATTACTTATACATTTATTTTTATTTTGAAAAGAGAGAAAATTACAAGATTTTTGATATTGTATTATTCAAGGGAAGAGAAATAATCTATATAGTGAATATGATATCTTAACACATTGCATTATTAGTGATAGTTTCTGCTTGCCATATAAAGATTTAAGCATCACTATTATCTATTTGCTTGTTAATGGAGTATACAGTGTACAATCAAACTACTGTTGACAATATGAAATTGTAATGTTCTTTGATAAAATCACTAGAATATATGTTGTCAATAGTCTGATTATGAAAAGCTATTCAATATAAGATTTATTGCAAGTCTATCTTTGTTCAGCATATCAGTTTATGACAGTATGAAAGAAAAGCTTGCTTTTTCCTCTCATTACATAGCAGCAAAGAATGATATTTATTTTAACAATTTATCGTACAATTGAAATATTGGCAAGATCCGTTCAGAATACGTCTAAAATCATGATGAAGACTCATTATGAGAAATGCTCTTAATTAGATTGTTACACATTTTGTTACTTTAACTTCAACTATTAGTAGAAGAAAGTACTTTCTTCATTTAAAATTCGTACACACATACAAGAAGTAATGTTGATTATCTTTTACTTTTCATCAGTAACACATACGTATTGTAATTATTAGTTATCTATTACTATGTAATAAGTGGTCAATAGCAAGACTTATTATTTCCTAAAAATGGACAAATCGATTAATTAATACTGATTACTACGTGATTTAAATATACTTGATCACATATAAATACTGCAGAATAGTTCAACTAACCACTTACTACTCGCTAAAAACAGGTGAAAAGTAATAAGTACCGACGACTAGCAACTATTCTGTATATGATAGAAGCACTACTCACCGAGAACGTAGCAATAATATAATTTTTCAAGTTGAAACTTATTTTTTAATAATCACAATTAAAAGAAAAAAAAATCATTTAAACACCTTTGTGACCGTTAAATGTCTGTCTGAGTAGAACTGAACTTGTTGACCTCTAGTAACTAACAAGATTTTCAAGACAAGAATACATGTTAGACTTTCATTTTTCATTGTTCCCACACAGAATTTATTTGACTTAAATTAAAAAACTTTATTACAAATTTTACTTGATCTAATACTTAAAAGACTTGATTTTAATAACATGTTCGTATTAAATCGATATGACAAATATAGCTGATAAAATTTCTAATTAATTATTATTGTAATTTAAGAAAAGTGAAATTTTACAAAAACGTTCATCTCATTGGCGAAAAGTTCGTCAAGCATTAATAGCTTCGTCAAATAAAGTTCTTCATGCTTGTCCAAGTGATGATGAATTACTTGAACAACCAATGTTATCGTCTGAATTAATGAATAGAATTCTACATGATCTTAATTGTTTAAATCAACAAATATATCGTATACGAACATTTCAAAATCTTTATGAACAATCTCTTTTATTTCATATGTTTCAATCATATGTACAATATAAAACTTTAATTGAATATGTTTATGAAACAAAACAAAAAGAACAAGATATATTTAATTTAAATAAATATTTAAATGAATCTACAATTTATAATGATTTACGTATATGTCAATGTGCTGATTATGCTTTAACTATTTATATAAAATTAGTTGAATATCATACAAATCTTTATAATATGTATGAAAAATTATTGGATGATAAACGTGATTATTTACGTCGTAAACAATTTGATCGAATTATTTATTATCGTATTGAAATTTGTCAATTATTATTACGTTCAAATTGTTTACAACGTTTACTTGTTGAAATTGAAAATGGTCGAAAATTTTTCAATCAATTTCAATATGATATAATTAATAAAGATGATTATTTTTATAAATATCAATATATTCTCACTAAATATACATATAATCTTTTTGAAGCTATTGTTTTACAACGTACAAGATCAATATATGATGCTAAATTATTATGTGAACAAAGTTTAGAAGAATTAAATGATATTAATCAAAAACAATTATGGGATAATTTAATATTTAATACTGATTTATTAAATTGTTCAACAGCTAAAGAAAAACGAGTACAATATGAACAAACGAAAGATTATTTATTTGATAGAAGTTTTAATTCTCAAACATCAGTAAGTCATCAAAAAAAAAAAACATCAATTGTTTGTTTTAACTTTAGAACTGTTGATTTACGCAAATCCGAATTATTTAGCATGTTTCGTTCAAGATTTACTAGAATTTTCTTGAAGTTTACGATTTCAGGGAATTGGTCTTGGAATACTCCAAAAGAGCTCAAAACAAAGGTTATTCATCATGCTGATAAAGGAACCTTTTAACATGCTTCCTTCCAATTTCAATAATTTTTTGCCTATTCAGATTTGCCTAAGCCTATCGAATTTTACTCTGAAAGTTTGCACCTATAGATAATTCAATTCGAGTAGCACGTATGAAAAAAATTTTTGTGAAAAGTGTCGATATCTTAGAAGTCTCATATCTCGAGTAGATCTTGTTCAAAACTTCTGAATTTCTTAATGGAAGCTATTCGAGTTGAGTTCTATATATGCACAAACGAAAGGGGACATCTAAAGAGGTTCCCTCTTGTGAATTGAATTATGACGTTTGTTTTTCGTTTCAAAGCGATCTGAATCTACTATATCAGCATTTCTGAAATTTCAAAAATTTCCTCGACACAGAATAAAAAAAAAATCGAAATTTTATAAATCTTGAAAAGTGATCTCAAGTCGCTTTGAAACTGAAAACAAGCATGCCCATTCGACTCAACATGATGAACCATTCCTTTCTAGGGCTCTTTTGGAGTCCCTGAAGATCAATTTACTGAAATCGAGAGTCTCATAATTACTCTGAAATAGAACATGCTAGAAAATTCAGATTTTTATAGATCGATAAAGAGAAGATTTTTTCCAATCCATTTGTTACATTTTAAGTTAAAATAAGTTAGATTTCAGCATATATCGATGGATTAGAATTTCCTCTGTTGAATGATGAAAATATCAGGTCTCTATGTTTTTCTTATGAAAATTTATTCAAAAAACAGTCAGTCAGAACCATTGCTTTCTGAAAACGACAGTAATCTGAATTATTCTTCTTATATAATTTAGCAGTCTGATCAATTACATATTTTTATCGAAAAATATCGTCTTGAATATTTAATATGTCAATATCATCTTCTTCGATATCAACTTTCTCGTGATCAATCAATTGAATCAATAAATACTTTAATTAATTTACAATATCATACATATCCAATATCATTTTCTCTTCCATGTACAATAATTTTAATTGAATATTTTTATTGTCAAATGAATTATAATCAATGTTTAATACTTATTAATAAACTTATTACATTTTGGTGGTCACATATAACATCACGTGAAAAACTTGAATTAGGTAAATTAAAAAGTTTATCGTTAATTATTGAATTAAAACAAGGTTCACTTGAATCAGCTATATTATCAGGTTATTTTGCTAAACGTTTATTAACTGGCTATCATGAAAATATATTTCTTATTGAAACATGTATACATTTAACATTAGCATTAATTGGTGAAATGCGTATATCAAATATTGAATTAATTTTACAACATTTAGAATATCTAAGTGAACAAACAATGAATTCTTATGCTAAATTATGGTATTATATATTAGTTATTGATGTTGCTATTGAACTTGGCTATGAACTTATGCCAATAACAATAGATTTTCTTGAAAATATAACAAAATATCGTAAAAAACTTCTTACAGGACCAAATCAACGAAGTTTATTAGTTTTTTATAGTGATTGCACATTAGCACAAATTTATATACGATTAGGAAAAATAAATATGTCAAAAATACATTTTCAACTAGTAATACATCAAATAAAATATGATCAAATGCATTTATCAAATATTGATTTTCGTTTTAAACGTGGTCTATTAAAATTAATTGAAACACAATTATTATATTGGTATCATACAAGAGAATATGACGAAAATATACCAAAAGATTATTTTTTATTAAATGCTATTGAAAATACTCTTGATGATAATTTAATTCCATGGAATAGAACAAGATATTTTATTTATCAAGCTTATTATGATAGACTTATTAATGATTATAAACGAAAACAACAATATTCTATTGATGTAAATATTTTCGAATGATATTACATAGAAAATAATATCTTAGGATTTATCGTCTAATAATATATCACACATTTTGACTCTAATCAATATTTGTATAGTCTTAAAAGAAAAGCAATAATCATTCTGTAAAAAACAAGAAAAGTCTTTGAAACTATTGAGACGACTGTTATTCAAATGGTTTTTTACTAAATCGAAACTAATCTTGTTTAGGATAACGGAAAATTCGTAAATTTGATTTTTTCACTAAAGAAAAGTCTTTTGAGGAAAGAAACGATTTTCTACAAAGTTGTAATGATATGATTTGGATTGTCATCTTATAGGAAATATCTTGCGTCCTGATTTATTTTTTTAAATGAAAAACCATTTTCGTAAACTAGTACTTTCCACTGTACTTGACTATTTTGATATGCACCAAAATACCATCCTATTTCATTATATCATAAGCAGTGAATTATTCATTTAAGACACCGAGAAAATATCATCGTAATATGATGTATAGAAAAACGATAAGGTATTCAGGACTATGATAATAGTCTGCAGTTGGAAATACTGTAAATTGACGTTTGGTATACGTAGTATTGCGATCATATTTTATTATGCCGTACACAATTGAAAGCGATCTGAAAATCGAGTATCCGATCATTTATAATGCAGTGAAATATGATCGTGATGCTGGGCCGGAATACTTCAACAGAAGAATTCTGAATTAGGCTGACTATTTGCCCAGAGCTACAGTTATTACTAGTCCATTCATGTTTACATTGCCACTTAATCTTATTTCAGAATGATTTCAATTGGAAATTAAGTTTACAAGAAGCAGAAATCAATGCTATTAAACTTGATCTTGAATGGATTCAACGATTACGAACTGCATGGTTGCATCCAATATCTGAACAAATATCTTTACAAATCAATCAATCTATATCTGTTGAACGTCCACGCACATCTTCCGCAATGACAAGTAAATCAACTAATCGACCTTTTATTCGACCATCTATACCTCATATAAAAACATCATCAAAAATCGAAAAATATCCTGATGAACAATCAACTATAACTATTCATAATTATTCTCATCAAAAATTTGTTGATTGGCGTTTATTTTTAACTAATAACAGTTTACCAAAATTCCAACTTTATATTCTTCCGGTGAGGGTGTGAATAGATCTGTTAATTAGTTTATTATTGTTTTTCGTTCATTTTTCTATGTATGTGCATTTAAATATTAAAACAAAGCAACAATGTTAATAAAATACTATTTGCATCAAGTTAATCATAGTGTGATGCAAAACTCATATTTTCCCACACAATTGTACTTTTCGTTTTTGTTCATCAAACGAAAATATTCGATGAAAACTTTTTCTTGTTGATGGATAAAAGGGTTATAAATGATAACTTGTTCACATTCACATACAACACGGAACGAATAATATTTTTTTTTGTAATTGACTTATATCAGCGTATACATCAATCGAATGAACATTTAATTAAGTATAATAATTCATATTGAAGATCAAGAAAAAAAAGTCCACACGTTATATACAGTGGCTCAGAAAATTATTTGACCAGATTTATTTTCAATTTTTTTTCTAGCGTCGTAAACACTAATAAGAATTCAAAAAGTAATTTGTGTAGAGAATTTTATTTTCAAGAAGAATTTTTGTAGATGAAAATTATTGCTAGTTTTCAGAGGATAGGGTCTCTGGAAAACTAAAACCAAAGTTTTTCATCACTTGGAATTCGCAAATAGAATTCCATGTTCGATTACTTAGAATGATAAAGCAAACAATTCTCTAAGAAATGACTCATTTTTCAGTTTTCTACGGCGTCTGTTGACCGAGATGTATCAATCTGACGGAATGCACAAAAATGATGTTCCTATACGAATGGTCTAAAGAGCAACATTTCTGTAGAGCCCGTTCGATTGATTCTGGAGTAGAGTGTACGTGTGAGTATCTTTTTCATCAACATCCACACCCTCTTTTCGATGAATAGGAGAGAGAAATACAAATAGACAGTTGCGTTCAGCGGGGTCATTTGTCGGGTCTGGTCTCTCGTGGAAAAAGGAGACGGTGATTGTCGTAGATATTTCAAGAATGTGAACAGGGGAACAAGAAGAGCATGAAATATTCAGCATCCTGAAAATTTTCTGTCTTGGGTGTGGGTGTGAGAGTAATATCTTTTTCTTATCCACAATAACATAATCACACCCTTTTTCATCATGAAATCCAATCGCAATAACTCATTCTCCAACAAATATTACAAAACCTAATAATGATTCTGAAGTCATAGCAGCTCAATAACTTGCTTCTCGATAGTGCTGATTAATAGTCGAAATAAGCCGAACAAAATAATATTCAAGATGCTATTAAACTAGCACATTTGTCGGCTGAAAAATGAAATTTAATTGTATGTGCTAGTGTTATTACAAATGTACGGCAAGCAAAGAAAATTAATCATGAACTATGAATTAATGACATCATAATATTCATCAACTTCAATAATCGATTGTGATAAAAGATTAGACTTATTGCCGGATACAACAACTATTGATATGCATAGAATAATGATTGCAATTATCATCCAATTAAAATTTGCCATTATTATAAAAATAATAGTATGAAGTTGTTATTGTTACTACTATATTTATTTGTTTGTAAAATGTACCTGAAATGTTTCAATGTGCTCTGCGAAAGAAAAATAGCCAAATTGGTTCACAAGAAATTTGTTTTCTTTCTTCCACGTTGTCTGTCGAAAAAGACGAGAAAATAGGATGGCATGTGACTTTTGATATGATAGGAGTGGATTTTCAGTGTGGGTGTGCTTTGTGACAAAGATTCAAGCTTCATTCCTAGTAGCAAATCAATACACATATTCACGCCCACACTCACTGTGTCTTTTTTGTCTATTCTGTGACTTCTTAGAGAGACACTACAATTCATTTTTTCAACCTATATTTATTTACATTCTGCTTGGTAAAATAGTCGGAGAAAAAATTATTGAAAGAAATAATACAAGACAAACAGTGATTTGACGATTTCAAAACACAGCATATACTCACGCACAGGATGTACGACAATACAACATCAAACATTAACTATGGCAATTCATTACTATACGAATTTCCGAAGAGCGAATTGATCATACAACCCTACTGGGTATTGGTTTTACAAATTTTTATCATACAATGTCTTCAACGAGAATGGAATCTTTATAAGTATCATACATTACTTACAGTAGTTTGAAATCGATCATTTTGATATCCCATTTGCATTGCCTATCCTTGAACATCTAGTATGGTACTTAGTTCAACAGCCAAAATGCATGCCGTACAAAGATGCTACTCCGTGGAAATGTTATAACATATTGGGATATAAGTTGGCTAATAATATTTTTGTTCAAGGATTTAATAATTACTTTATTCTGATCATGAAATTTATGTTATATAGAAAACTTGGCGATGATCAAAATAATGAAATAAAAGAAAGCAAACTTCATTTCGTAATAGGCATCTGTTCTGTGGTATTTAATCTGTTTATACTCCTGCCTTACATTGTTACTAATGTGACACCCATAGGAATAGCCTATATTTGGATAAATTTCATATATGTTAGTCTTTCCATAGGTCTTGCGGTATTGCTTTCCTTTTTGATTGGCTATCGCTGTGGATGTAAGAAGAGGGCCGACGATCTAAGGGTTGTTTGGGCCTATGTATACGTTCTATTAGTGACATTGATCTTGCCCACGCTATACAATTATTCACAATATGTTTATTTTGGCGATGGATATCTTCATTCGATTTATTCAGAATATCAGACAAAAAGTACTCAGCAGTATTTTGAATACATAAAGAATGGTACTCAAACTGTAGGACACTTAATATTATCAACATTTTAGTGGTGTAGGCTGTGACGGTGCGCCGATTTATGGTCGTGGCTAATTTCATCGACACACTGTCGCACTAGATCTACAAAATTGGCACTGAAAACTTCTAAACTTCTTTTATTACTTAACCATCTTTGATGTAATTTTCGGGTGTGGGTGTGGATCTTCGCTTCAACAAGACGCACATCTGCTCTTTTATTGGTTGATCATATTTTCTCGATTTCTAAAATAAAATTGTAAAGTAATTGAATAAATAGAATTTTAATCTTTTCTTTAAATAACTTCTCAATTGTTTCTATTTGAAGACACATCAAAACAGTGGTTGTCGATTTTTATGTTGTAATCGCATGTCTATAATATCAAATTTCAAGATTATCTAATTTATTCATTTGCACGACAAACACGCCAAAATCAGATGGTAAAATGTACATTAATACATTCTTGACAATACGCAATACTATCTGCGTGATCACAGTTATTTAGTTTTGATCACTAGAGAATCTCTAGAATCAGTAACAGTCATAGTAATAAGAATTTTGAAAATCCTATATTCAAAATTACTGTCGACGAATTTAGCTATAGTTCGTTAATCAAGGTGTATGTGTGAGTATAAATGCTGTAGCCTGCAGATGGCTCAGTGTCAATATCTTGTCTCCTAACATACCCCACACCCAAACTGAATCGAAGAATTTCAATCTGAAAATTTGTCCAAAAATAGATCTCATCGTCTTCCTAATATCCTGCAAATTTCTGCCAAAATGAATGTTTTATTATTGAGATCACAAGTTTGCAGAAAAAACGCCTTTTCTCAGAAATGATTTGAGAAAATCCGATTTGTTTAGGATTCAACATCTTGAGAAGAAACTATTCAGTCTGGCTAAAATTTGAAGGATATTATGAAGATCATGGGATCTATTTTTGGACGAAACTTTAGATTAAGATTCTTCGCTTTGGTTTTGCTGGTGATACCATGCAATAGACTCGAAATGCAGTAAAATGATCCTAGCTCAAGAAGAGAAAGGTCTCATGAAAAGAGTCGTTTTTTCGATTTTTAACACAAATAATTGGAGATATCTATAATTATAAACAAGAAAATAAAGTCAGTTATCGTTAAGATGATTATAATCAACAATGAAATTAATTTTCAAAAATTTCGTTTGCATTTTTGTTATTAGAATTTATGATAAATCAATTCAGAATGTGAATTTGAAAACTTCTTCGGCGAAACAATCATCATGAATGATTATTACGATGAACTTATTGGTAGATTTTCGTGTTTTGCTGAAACAAAAAGAAAAAGGTACATAAAGAGTTGGGATTAGTCGAAGAATCTAGTCAACTATTATTATGGTCTCAATTAATTAAACATATAATTCTAATCGAAACTGTCAAGTTATTATTGATCAATCACCGTTTCAAAAGAACCATCCCAACAATGATACAAGCGGTTAAGACAATTATCCCGAGAGATTTTGCTAAATTCCAAGCTCTACTAGATTGTTCTGCTTTCTTATGTACGTCAGATTGTTGATTTGATTCGACTTGTTTAATTGTTTGTCTTAGTTTAATATGACTTTGATAAGGTATATCGACATTGACTTTACCTTCTTGAAATTCTTTCACGTCGTTTCGATGTTGTTTTACTGCTCTTTGTACTGTTGCGTTTGTACTTGCATTTTCATTATTTTCAATTGATAATAAGAATTCATTAGAATTCTTCACAGCGTTATCACATGCCCGATTATAGGCTCTTTTTAATGTTTCACCAAGCGATATCACATGATGAGTCGCACGAGACACATCATCAGATTTAAGAATACCAGCGTTGATTGCTGGTCTGCATATTTGTTCTACCAACAAAAGTTTAAGAATGATTGTTAACATTTGTATTTAATCTTACCTAAACCGCCGACATCAATTACAGCAGTTAAAACATCTTTTGCAGTGTCTATCCAACCATTCGTATTACGTTGAAGACTTTCAGCCATTGTCTTTTCTTGAGGAGTCGAAAAATGAGTCATCTCTAATGCTTGATCGCTCTCAATCTTGATTCTTTCCAGTTCTCGTATTGGGTGATAATTTTTCGAGTTTTAATTCTCCATTTACTAATTGTTTTCATCAAAAGTTACATGTTCATCCTCCGCTTCACGATAGCTCACCGAGTCTGTTGCCGTCGATTTCATTTGTTTTGCCATCAAATCTATTCAAAAAAAAAGAAAAGTTAAAAAATTCTATTCTACGAAACTGAATAGTTTGCTCGATTAAATATTCAAAATTCACTTCTACATATGATTGATTCATCGGTATGCATCGATAGAACTCCAAGAGCTGCATATCTCTATGTCCCATACAGACTTGAATCACTATGTTCAAAAATACATCATCAACAAACCGAAAAACAAATGTCTATAAATCCGACCTTTTGTCATTACTCTTTTTCGATGGAAAATTCATTCTCCGTTAAATTTGAAAAAACAACAGAAGATGAATTAAAGCATTCATTTTAACAAAAAAAGGGTAAACAATTTGATAAATATAGATCTCTTGTAAGGAGTATCAAAAAAGTAGCATTCAGTTGGTTAATCGTTCATCATTGTTTCTCTACAGTTAATTATTGATGAAGATATCCTAAAGATTGTATCCCTGTAGTTTGTTCTCATTTTATTATGGATGTTTGTTTTGTCCTTCTTCCCCGATGTCTTCCCTTTTCTTGTATCCGACTCCATGTTTAGTGCTTCAGAGAGTTATAACTGAAATATGCATATAATGTAGAAAAATTGTATCGGTTTTTATAGAAACTAAAAACCAGAAGCTTAAAAAAAAGAATAATGCACAAGAAAATTTTAAATGAACAAAAATTGTAAAATAAGGCTTCTTATGCTTGATTCATTATTCAGATACATGTTTTTTCCGAATGCTATGTTTTTTGTCGAACAGCACTTTAGTCGACAGACTTGTCGTCGAAGTAACTTTGTCGAACTTTTTTTCCAGAAAAGCATTTCGTCGACACGACACTTCGTCAACACGGCATGTCAACGAAAAGGGTATGGGTGTGGGTGTGCGGGTGTGGTGTAGGTGAGTGTGGGTAGAAAGCATTCCCACCCATACCTACACCTCACATCCACACCCTAGAAGAATGATATTAGAGAATGCAAAAAAATGAGATTTTACATAACCTTGGCAGACCTATTAAACCAAGCGGTTTATTGGATTATTCTTCATTTGGTTGTCCAAGGCAGACATTATTCTCACAGACCGTCACAGGGCAGGGCGTCTTCGGGGCATATAAACTGAATTCGACTATGGAATGGGTTGCTAACCTTGTGAATTTTTTCCTTGTTTATATTTCGTGCTCATACCTTTTTATATAATTTCAAAAGAATATTATCCATGTATAAAAGCAATCATAAAGCCTGCTAGAAATCGGTTGGAACTCCAATTTGTAATCTATTATAGGCCGATTTTAAACTTATATTTTGTTTTTTCTAATTTCTAGGATTTGTTCTAATTTTTCTTTCGATTGAAACTGATTAATAAATTTTAATGAATAAAAATTGGCAAATCTTTTTAACTGAGTAGAAAGAACTCAAAAAAAGCCGCTTGACAATAAAAATGATTAACTTTGATGACTTAAAATGAGAACACAATAGAGTAAAAATGATGTCATTTTTATTTATTTTTTTTGAAGAAATAATACGTGTTAACCTAATACCATGCCTTTTTAAGCATGATCGCATGACAAGAGTAGCATATTCATACAAAAACAGGATATTCGTTAATGAAACAACGATTCTTGGTGACTAACGTAAGTATCATTATTTAATTCCTTCAAAAGCTTTCATTACTATTTAGCACTTGGTCAAGAGTCAGTTTTTTATTGTTTGCTTGACTTCCTTCTACTTTGATAAGAAGTATTCAATCTCCTCGAAGTTGAAAAAAATCGTATTGAATGATGATGAATTAGAATGAATATCATATGCACAAGTTCTAATGAGATGGGTCTCAACATGAAATCATCACTAGCTGGTAGAATTATATAGATGACAGATGTTCTGAAAGATTCATGTTTGGATTTAGCAAACGGTTTCAAATGTTTTCTTTTGCAAAAAAAAAGAGTGTTATCAGGGCAAAATATTTCGTCCTGCCCAGTTAGTACATAAATTTATCAGGGTAAAAAATCATCTTTGCTCTGTAGAACAGGCGTCAGAGTAACAAGGCAGCCATATCCTGATGACAATCTTTGATCTTTCTATACAGTTTATTTATATAGTTCATACTCCATATGATAAGTTTGAAATATTGAAAATCTGTTTTGGGTTCAAGTACGCAGCTAGTCATCACTAATACTCACATCTGTGTACATTCATGGGTTTGTTAAAAAGCGTCATATGTACTTTCAGTTTTTTTGCGTGCTTAAGTTCTCGGTATTCAACGTTCTCGCGCTTACCACTTCGGTTTCTCTAAGCCTCTATGATGCCTAAGAATTTCTCTTACTTCTATCCAAACAATAATAAACCAGGGATTATTATATTGGATTATAAAGTGGCATTTCGAATTTTTGAGTGAAATTTCCAGTTATTCATCTCAAAAATTTATTTTAAAGGATAAGAAACAATATATGTGGACTTCCTTATTTTTTTTCTAAAGTAGCTGATGAACATTAATAAAAATGCTTTTAAAATCGCATTCTACAACGTGCATTGAACAACCTAATTAAGAGATTGTCATAAAAACAGTTGGCGAAATCGAGCTATATTTTTATGGGATGTTAAATATAAGGTGGATGTATTCTCTATGATTTATCAAGAAAGAACTATACTAAACCATCTATATATGAATACTTACTGTGAGAAGTTTCGTTATTCAAATAGTATAAATGTTGCTCTTTTGCTTTTTGTTTGCATAGAGATATGGTGAAGAAAAGAAAAATGACTTCGAAGAGAAGGCATAGGTCGACAGGCTTTGCTGAGATGTGGAAGGATGCATATATGATTTTTTAAAAAGAAGCAGTTTACAGTCTGTTTTTTATTCTGTGATTCTTTTTTTTTCAGCGAAAGGAACGATTTTCGCTGAGAAAAAATAAAGGTTTTCTTAATGAGTGTTACCCACGTCCTCCTCAGTGTCGCCAACTCTCTGTTTTTTCGCATTTAGATAAGACCAAATGATAAAACAACACAACATTTTTCATGATTTATTTTAACAACTAGAGAATGGAAAAAAGTTTTCAAATATATATGCCTTCATCGTTGACTTGGTTTTTATGGAATTTAAAGGATGTTGGTGTGATTCAAGAGATGACTCTGACTGACAACGGCACTCATACCTACATCTTTTTTTTATCCTATACAGATAGTTGTATTTTTTATGAATTTTTCAAATCATTTTGAGGATGGAGTGTGGGTATAAGCGTGGAAGAAGAGAATAATGAAACCCACACCCACGCTCTTCTCATTGAGAATTTCATTTGAGCAAAGTTTCATTTCAAAACTCGAGAGTCCATTTTGAAGTTGATCTGAGGAGAAGTTCGGTAATTTGTTGAAAAAAGCCAGCGAATGATTCAAGAGGCAAAGGCCATGGGCACGAATCATCTTAGGCTTTGTAGAGTGCTAATAGACCTTATTTAATGCAGGAAGACGTAATCGAAGGCGATTTATCACCTCAAGAGATTCCCTTGTAAGTTTGTAATATATATCAGATATAAATCCAGATACTAAAGAAACAAATAGAGTAGAGTATCATTTTTTTCCTTTTAGAAATCGTAAAAGACAAGATACCTAAATAGTGCATAACATCCAAATATTTGAATTATGAAGTTATCCTCGATGGTTAAATGACTATAGAATGTTAAATAAAATACAAGAAGATGTAATGAAACAATTATTCTCGTCATTGCTCTAGGTTCTAATCGAGGATCGGAGTAAGAGGCTACTAATTAGTTCAGATCGCATTTGATTCATTGGCAAGATTATAAGTCTGAGAAAAAATACTGGTTTCTCCAGTGCATGTTTTATTAAGATGTTCTTTCGTTATTCAGAAAACCTCAACAATGATTAGGTTTTCTAATTATGTCTCTTAAAAGAAAAACACAGTTAGATCAGACGTACACTTGTGTTTCAGTTCTGCGAAATCGTCCTAGAATCCATTCAGTCTCTTTTCCATCGAACTTGTTATTGCGGATATTGAGGGTTTTCAGATTTTCGATGCTGTAGATTGCTTCCGGAAGTTCAGTGAGCGAATTGTTTGACATATCCAAATTGCTAAGACTGTGTACTTGTGAAATGGTAGATGGAATTTCTGTGATTCTATTCGAATCAAATCGTAGTAATTGGGGTCCGAGCCAGTATATTGTCTCGATACCATTGAGAGATGTCAATTTGTTGCCGGTCAATTCCAATATTTCGAGACCTGATATATTCAATGGAAAATGGTCAATCGAACAGTATGAAGCACGCAATTCGAGCAGCGTGTAAGCTCCAATGAGCGGATCAAGTGATGTAAGAGATGGATTGCTGTCAACTTTCAACCAGCGTAGCGCGATCATGCTGCTGAAACTAGAGGGCAAGGTCGAAAGTCGATTTCCTGTCAATGTCAGATTTGATAGTAGATTGAGTTTTGCAATTGCTTCGGGTAGTATTTCAAGACCAGACGAGATGATAGTAAGAGTTCGAAGATGAGTGAGCTTGAACAGTTCATCAGGAAGTGTGAGAGCTTGAGAAACCCTGATCAAATTCAGAGTTTCGAGTGACTTAGCCAGACGAGCAATTTCAGGAGGAATAGTAAGATTGGTGGAATACATCAAAGTTAATGATCCCAAACTACTTAGACAGAAGACTTGTACCGGAAGAGCGTTGATACTAGTGAGAGTAAGCTCTATCACGCTACCTGGCGTGAGGACGCGGGCATAATTGAGGATAGGGTAATCAGTTGTGGTTGGATTGATCGAAACAAAAAACGGTAGTGATTGAATGATTTGCTTGTCCGATTTGTAAGCCGAACAGTCAAGATCGGAGGCTGAAAAAACAAAGTAGAGTTAGAGAATCGAATCGATTTTTTTTCTGTATATATTGCAGTTTCATACCTGATTCCGAGACAATTGCCTGAAAGCTGAGTAGAACGACGAAGAAAAACATGGTTTGTGGTGGCTGTTGTTGCCGATACTTCTAATCTTTATATAGACATGAAAACGAATGACATTTTTCTGTTCTATCGATCGAAAGCCATCTGTTCACTTCTATTTTATCCCTGATGATATCCAATATTTTGATGGCCTCTTTTTTATTTCAATGACGATTTAATTGAGGATTGAAATATGACTCTATTTCTTCATGTGTCAGTTTGACGTCATTGATTGATTTCTTTCGTAATTCATTTCTTAAATAAAATCAAAATATCTCACTTTCAATATCGAATGCAATTCAGAGTACAACTTAAATAACCTATGCGCTTCTTATACTCAAAAATAACATCTCAAGCACGAACAAGCATCGAAGGTTTTCACAAAATACCGCCACCAGTGAGGTAGAACAAAATATTTTGATTTTGATTTAAATAACAGATTCAAAAATAACGACGACCATTACAGTCAGTTTTTGAATCGAGGGAAAATTCATGACGATAATATCAGTGGTGGATTACATTGAAAAGTTGACACTAAACCACTGTTGCTCTTGTGATCGTGAAAAATTCTATTCAATTTTTTTCCAAGAAATGACAGATCGAATTCCTGCACAAATATCGTTTAGTAAACAGAATTTCAAATTCGTTAAATTTTTAATACCGAATTCCATTATTTAGTTAGGATAAGGCATCGACAATTTGACAATAATTTCAGCGTTGGTTGATTACTTTCGCTCATTGAACCGGGTTGATTCGAAATGTTTTGAACTTACGTCAAGAAATTTCGTTTTGATATTTTGACCAATTGTTCAGATAAACTTTCTTTGTATATTCTACATTCAAAAAGAAAATCGATTTTGTCGCAATCCGGTTAATGGTTTCTTGGTTTATCTGTATATGAAAATCTTTATAGGCTTCCGAGAATGGGTTTTCGGTAGTTACCCACAAAACGATTCACTAATCAATATTTGTCGTCTTATTCTAACCCCTTATTCTAGCTACTAATCTAACTCTTTAATCTATATCTATTCCCGTATTCGAATCCCTTAATTTAACTCTTCAATGCTAATTTGAGTCTCATGTTGGCGAACATATGTCGGTAGTATAATGAGACAAGAAAAAGCTAAGCTCGAGAGAAAACAGCGGACTTCAAGACTTCAACAATATAGACTTCAAATTCTCAAAAGACTTCAGAAGACTTCTGAGACCTCATGAAACACTCAAAACTGAAGTCTCAGCTGTTTCTCCCTCGACTACGCTCGGTACGAAACCTTTAAAATATGATACTTTTAGAAGCTATACAACAATATCTTTTCTATTAGAAAAATCCTCAATGATTTCGCACTGAATGTAATACATTTTCAAGCCTTTACAAGGCTTTGTCCATTTGTGCAATAATTTATAAGGTGTACGAAGGTAGCACGAAACTTCATGAGTTCCAGAACGCACCTTTGTTTTAGCGTACATGAAGCCAGACAAAGACATTAAGCTAGTTATAGTCTCAGGGATCTCAAGTCTGTCAAATGGATAGTCTTGAAGATGATAGTCTTCATCTCGAAGTTTGCACGAGTTGTAAAGTTTTCAAGGTTCCTTAATGTAAACTCATGAGTTTCATCAAAGTTCTTCAGTATTCATGTCTGTTAAAGTGACTATCATGAAACTTGTGAAAGTCCTCAAGTGTATATGACTGTCAGTTCCAAACTCATATCGTCAGCTGGTTCTGAAGTCTTTATGTCTGCCAAAAACGTATACATGATGTCAACCAAAGTGCTGAATCTTTTGAAAAACAGAGATATAAACCTAATGAAATCTCTCAAGTGTTCTCTTTTTCCACATACACGGCAATGAAGGCGATGAAATTGATATAAGTTGAAAGCCTTCGAAATAGAATGTCAGTAATTTAGTTCGAGTGCTGGAGTCTTCATATCTCGTAAAACGGGCGTTATGCTATCAGTCTTATTGCTATAGTCTTCATGTCTTTCTCCAAAAGACTAAGTGAAAAAGTTTGTCTGTTAGCTCTATGTATGGGGATGACACTATAGAGCTAAGCTATACTATGTATATATATATATTAGCATACATACATGAATGAATATGCAGCCGAATGGATGAATATATATAGGTATATAGTAAACACGTGTATTGTGATGCAAACAATAACAGTACAACTACACGCAACAAGAAGTATGACCAGAACGAATAATGAAANAATACGAATCCTAAGTTCGATTTTTTTTTGTCAGTATAAGCTTATTCTCACAATTTAGCTAAATTTTATTTAATCTGTCTCCTGTTTTAAAATAGGTCTCCACTGACCAAAAAAGGAAAACTTAAGAATTTCAACTCATCCAGGAGCGTAAATAGGAAGATGTTTTCGGCGTTAGTCTGTTAGGAAACGACTAAGTTTTGGCGTATACCTAGTCGGATAAGATGTAGTTTCTGTGCGATTCCGGAAGTCGAAATGATCCGGAAGATGCAGTTACAGGTACGGTGATTTTTTGATCGAAATACTGCTTCCATCTAGCCGGGATCATTCCGATCGTTTCTGAAGGTAAATGTGCTGGAAACCGGGCGATATCAACCTGGAAAATGGTTGTTTCCTATACCAAATTTGGACTCAGAAATCACTGATCTGGGTAAAAGAGTCTCATGCTAATCAAACTTCTTCTTAAGTGAATGATCCGCATAGAGTTTTTGACTGAATCATTTATCAGGAGGATAATATTTCATATTTTAAAAAATTAAGAATGATTAAAAAAAATCTTTTGGCATATAATGAATATAAAATACAAATGAATAAAACTGAACGTCTCTATTCGTTGTTAGTTGGATCATGTGTTGAGTTCATTTTAGATTTCTAAGAAGTTTTCATTGTTATGATAAAAATTAATGTCTAACGACTTTTCGACTTTCTTGTGTATTATAAGCAAGCACGAGAAGAGAATCACTGGGGATTGATTGTGCACTTAATGATGAATAGTTTCTTGTATATTGAACATCATTGTTTGGAAGACTGTACGACGAAGGTGAAAGAAATGATGTTTTTGTCATATTCGTATAATTAGATAGAACACCAGAACTTGTCCGTGATTGACTCAAGTTTTCTGTTGCAATTGTCTCTGTTTCATTCAACCAATTTAAATTAAAGTTTTTCTCCGAAACATTATTTTCATTTATATATTGAGCACGATAATCCGGTTTGTTATTCTGATTTACGAAAATAAATTAATATTCATATATTTAATTAAATTATTTTACCTGCTGCTGAACATTTCGATCACGTTTAAAATATCGGCGACATGAATCGCAACTAAAAACATTCTTTCTATAACTAATTAGGCCGGAAAAATAGTGTAAAATAGATTAACTCGATACATTTATGATCTCTTGAGTAAAAGTAAATAGTTCATTGATTTTAAAAATTATTCAAGTATTTCACTGTTATATAAGAGTACATTGTTTAATTTTATCAAATTATTATTATGAATATAAGAACATAGAAATAGATTCATCAAGTCATATGATAGAAAAAATTTTCAATACAAATTCTTGAATATCTAACAGATTAAGATTACCTGAGACATTTGACAGGACCACAACAACAACAGCATGCCAAGCCAATTAATAGTAATAGTAGTGGCAGACCGAGACCAAGAATGAGTCCAAGACTCAGCATATTCAATCCGGAATCATTATTTGCATAAGTTGATACTAAAGTTATGTTGGACAAAGAAAAATATTGGTGTAAGACAAAGATTCTATGTAATGATAGTATATCGTGAACCTGTTTCTGTCGTTGTTGTTGTAGTAGTTATTGTTGTGGTAGTAGTTGTTGTTGTCGTTGTAGTTGTTGTTGTAGTTGTTGTTGTTGTTGTGGTAGTAGTTGTTGTTGTGGTAGTCGTTGTTGTTGTCGTTATTGTTGTTGTTGTGGTAGTTGTTGTTGTTGTTGCTGTAGTTGCCGTCGTAGTGGTAGTTGTTGTTGTTGTTGTCGAAGTTGAGGTTGTTGTTGTCTCTGTTGTTGTGGTTGTTGATGATGTTGTTGTCTCTGTTGTTGTCGATGTTGTTGTCGTTGCTGTTGTAGCTGTTGTTGTTGTTGCTGTTGTAGCTGTTGTTGTTGTTTTTGTTGTACTTTAATTCAAAGTAATTTATCATGATGAAAAAGAATAAAAAACTTACGCTGTTGTTGAGGTAGTAGTAGTCTTAGTTGCACTCCTACAAAATAAGATCAAAATAATAAGATAGATGCTTAAAATTTGTAATCTCTTCATACGTTGAAGTCGTTGTAGTTCTATCATGAGAAAAATAAAATAAAATAAAAAATGTTTCATTATTGTTTTTCAAAACATATCAACTTACACCGTTGTTCTGTTCGATATAGTATTTGTTGGACCTAAAAGTATATATTGAAGGTCTGCTTGAAAAAAACATTCCTTAGTTTATAATTACAGGTAAGTGACTGTCCAACGGATACAACCGTAAATGTCAGGCAATATTGTTCTGACTGTATATTATTACTAAATGGAAATAAACTTTCAAAAATTTTTTTTATTGAGTATGACTCTTTAATACCTATCAGTTGTAATAGCACAATAAACTTGAGATCCAATTTGGTCAACAGTTGGTGTCCATGTTTCATTCATAATCCATACATTGATCGGTTCATCAGGGCTTATTTGACTTTTATACATATTCAAAGGTGGCATTCTGAATACATCGCTGATCGTTGTATTTTCACATCCTGGCGTTATTGTCAATGTGAACGTAAATGTAACTCCAACAGTAATAGCAGTACAATCTACTAAGCTGGAGTTAATCTTCGGCTTTGTGAAGCAGCTAGATTTGCTAACAATTTTAATTAGAAATTGTAATGGAATACTACTAAATGGCAGATATGATGATGATGTCCAAAAATCCTCGACCATTAGAGCAACTACATAATAGTCTCCAACAGTTTTTCCTGTACTATTGAATGTTAGTCTGCAATCATTGCTATTGAGAGTGCTGCCGGCTGCTACTCCGCAGACATCAGCACATTCATCCAGTGATGACGTAAACTGAGCCCAACGACATCTAACGTAGAAATTATCACTCTCTGATATTTAGTGTAAAGAGAATACATTACCGTATTACATCATTGTTAGCATCAATAACTGGAATGTCGATATTGGTTATAGAATCGACAGGTACATTTATAGCTAAATAAAGCGATATATAAAAAAAACTAGCTTTTAATGAAAGAACAAGAATTTAATTGAGTGTTCTCTACAAAAATTATATTTTATTTTGTTAGGCTTTTTTCAGTCTACCTCATCCTGTTTTTATGCGACCTGAAATAATAAATATTCCAGACCAAATTCTGAATTTTTTGTTTTAATTATCATATATAGGAAGCCGAATTGTTGTTAAATTACTAAAGCAACAAATCATTGTTACTCATTAATAAGTACGACATAGATTTTTTTTCAAACGAATAATTTCGATTATGTATAGCAACAATAATTAGGTAATCTTCTTTTTGCTTACAAAAACATGAAAACAGACTGAAAAGTCGACCGGATTCTAAAAATAATATATTATGTATTACATACGCGAGACAACTGTTGCAACTGGTGGTGAATTAATAACACCATCGTATCTAATATTTAAATCGAGACAACAACCGATCGACCAGCTGGCACCACCATTGTAACAACTACCTGTACTTGATGTACATGCTACTTGTACAGGAATCCAACTTCCACTTCGAAATGCGACACAAAACTGTGAACCAACTGTAATACTTTGAACTGTTGAAATTTGACCTGAACTTGAGTCAAGGAATGAACTGAAATCGGTACAATATTCAACGATAGACATTGAACTATAACCACCACAGAAACCAGTAGGAGATGATACACAATCAAGTGTACCACTCATTGATGGAATTAGAGGTGATTTATTCATAACATAAGTTTGGTTACAGGATCCAGCGGTTGAGAGTCGCCATTGATATGATTGTGTAAACATCACTGAAACTGTTGAACCAGTAGTTGTATTAGCTACAGGTTTCCATGTTATAGTTCCACCAGAAAAATGACTTGATTCAACAAGAAAAATATTCAGTATTGTTGAAATATATGTGACAATAATAAATATCATCGAATCAATTTTTTTCTAAAATATAAGATAAAATAAAAATATTTCAACAGATCAATCAATGGGTCAATTTTATCAGTCATACACATGCATCTCTCAACACTCGAACATGTACTTTCAAGCGTTGTTCGCTGCATATGTTTGAAAAATCTGACAACGAACCATTGTTTTTTTTTCAACTATATTTAAATCATATAAGGTTCTGATTAACATAATGTTCTTGGTTTATTTTTTTCTCTTAAGAAGTAATCAAAGATAAGAAGAAAGATTCTAGTGTTTCTTCAATAAATCGAAAAGTAGAAAAAAAAATCAATCGAGTTGACGTCACAGGTTGTATTATTATCATAATCAAAAATGAAATAGTTTGATAGATTATCATTTATTCATGAAAACGACTAATATATCATAAACTAATGAAGAGATTAAATCTTCAATGCTTTTCAAGAAGTATCTATCATGAGCTCTTCAAATAATGCTTTTTATTTATATTGTCGTACATTTAGGAGCTATTTTATTGAATAAAATAAAAATTGGAAATTAGAGAAAAAAAAACTTGATGATCTTCTGATAGGAATGCTTGAAAGATTGTGAGAGAAAATAAAAGAAGACAAAGTAAATATTTGATCATTTGTCACAAAGATTTGTTGAATATATACTTGATATTAATTTAAAAGAAACTAAAAATCATAGGATCTAATATATATATATATATATATATATTAAATTTTGTTTTCGTGATTATATTTATGAACTTACAATAGCTAACATCTGTTTATGTTTAGTATAATTAGAAACTGAAAGTAACAGATTAATATTCTGACTTCCTTTTTTATTTTTGGATTTTCAAGAAATGCAATTTTGTCGTCTTATTTAAAAATTTCTTTTCAGAAAAATTAATACAAATGTACCGACAGTTCAAGTTTAATACATTGC